GTGTGTGTGTGTGTGTGTGTGCGCGCGTGTGTCGTGTGTCGTGTGCGTGCGCGCGCGCGTGTGTGTGTGTGTGTGTGTGTGTGTGTGTGTGTGTGTGTGTGTGTGTGTGTGTGCGTGCGTACTGAATTGAATTTTGCGTGCACACGGGGACAGAAATGCCTGGCCATCTGAAGTGTCATGTGTATCTACAGAGATCAAGAGTTCTGTCTAACGCGTGCTCATTGGTCTCTTTAGATACGCATGAAACTTCAGATGGCCAGGCATTTCTGTCCCCGTGTGTACATAGCATACAAAATATATATAAATTTAATGTATTTACCTTTTTCATTATCGCGTTTCTTGGCACGTTTGGTGGCGGTGCCGATGTCGTTGACATCATCAATGGCGGTACCGGTGTCAACGCTGCTGCTGCCGGTGGTGGTGGCGGTGCCGGTGCCGCTGAGATCATCGGTGGCGGTACCGGTGTGAATGCTGCTACTGCCGGTGGCGGTGCCGGTGCCGCTGAGATCATCGGTGGCGGTACTGGTGTCAACGCTGCTACTGCCGGTGATGGTGGCGGTGCCGGTGCCACTATCGTTGCCGGTGGTCGTGGTGGTGTCGATACCGATGCCGCTGATGGTGTCAACGGCATCGGCGCTGCCTCCGTTTGTCCGTTTAGGCAGCAGCCTAAACTTCTTGCTGAAATGAAAATGAATAAATTAATAGAGTAGCGTCACAGCTTATCTCTCTTGTCTCTTTCTCATCTTTCACTCACATACATACATACATACATACACACGCACGCATGCACGCACGCACGCACGCACGCACGCACACACACACAATCTCTCTCTCTCGCTCATTTTTGAACGATTTGTTTTTATCTATTATCCCATTTTCTTGCATTCTTCCTCTCGCACACTCACGCACGTTTTCACATACACCACTACACTCGCTCATTCATTAATCACTCGTACGTTTTCGCTACACTTTTTGACTTCTCCCGTTCGCGGCCGACGCAGAAAGATGATCGTAACTGTTTCCGAGTTCGTAAACGCAAATCGTAGTCGTTGATCAACGCAATGATTTTACGCAAACGTATGTCGTAGAGACGATTGATATGACACATACATTTACGTTAAAATAATTGTGCGGTGACCACGACTATGATTTACCTTTACGTACTTGGTCAGAAACAGTTATGGCAATCTAATTATTTCTGCGTTGTACTAACTCGCACGTTTTTCACACTTTCTCTCGTTCATGCACTCGCACGTTTTCACTGATCATTCACTTACCCATTCTCTAACATTTATTCACTTGCTCGTCCTCTCTCTCTCTCTCTCTCTCTCTCTCTCTCTCTCTCTCTCTCGAGGTAATACTTACATTTTCTTCTGCCTGGCTTGTTCGACATGTTGATTGTTGTTATTCACTTACACCTCACTATTTGCTCGGCGCTCGCTGATCTGATGTGATCTGATGGCGAACGTTCGTTGTCGCCGGGCGCGCCGAGTGCGCCGATCCACGTGACGTGGATACAGCGTTGCCACGTTGCCACACACAACAAACACACCCTAAATGATCCCATGTCCGTGTATGTTCCATGCTTTCGCATTATGCCTGAGTTTACGCTCCGCGAGACGATCTGACGCCGCGTTTTCTTTTCTCTCTTTCTATCTCCCTATCTCTCTCTATCTCTTACAATTAGTCATACTTACAGAAATATGACTTGGGATGTAATTTCATAAATTGACAATGTAACACGCGACATTATTATCTATGGATTTCTCTACTTTAACATTTATAAATTTATTATATATGTAACTATTATTAATATGTAAGTGTTAAAATGGATAAATATGAAAATCAGTTGTTAGTAAATATGTATGTATGTTATTTAAATTGTTACCTACTGTGACCGCACTTTCTCAAGTGTCGGACTACAAGATCCGGCTAAAGACAACGATTAACGTAACTCGTAATTGCACAATATCCAAAAAAAACGCGAAGTTGGGCGCCAGGCACGAGCAGGCGTGCCACCCTTCGAATTATCACGCGGAATTGAAATCTAGAACGCGGTAGAGGGGCGGTTCGTAA